TAACCATCGGTGACATCAACAGAGAAACGGCCAAGTCCAACAGAGGACTCTGCTGCTGCTAACACCTCCACAGTTGAACACTTCAGAAGGTACAATGCTGGCCTTCTGCTCAAACAACTTCAATACAAACCAATAGCCTTTTGATGGTGGTTTCAACAAGATAAGACCTTTGGCACTATCACGACGCAGCCCTGGAAACATATGTCATTCAAACAGCGCTCTGCGTTTCATCAAAGTAAACACAATAATCCGTTTGACTGTTTAACAATGTTTACTATGAAACAGGTTTGACCTTTAGACAAAAACACATATAAAGTAACACAAACCATCGAAGCCGTGGGGAGGATGTTGTTTTTGTACTCTGTTCTGTGTGAAGGCACGGTGAGGCAAACAAATCATTTTCATTTTAAAGGCATGTTAACATCTGCATAAACAAACTCATGGAAAGTCAGTGGTTCTCAATGTAAGGGGCGCAGACAGGCGAATTAATGTTAAATTCAGTATTTTTGTTACACACATCTACCTGCTGTTATTTATCTTCCTTTTCTTTGTTAATTATGATTAATCATGATAAATTGTGATTAGTAACCATCACGATTAACCATGATTAATCGTGATGAATCCACAGCTACCCTGTGATTAATCAGATTAAAAACTAACAGCACTGACAACACTTGTGCTTTTATTATTTGGATTCATGTTAGTACAATTTTAGTTTTTTTAATTTTTTAAAGTTTAGTGAAATTTTGAAACAAAGACATTGAATATTTTGGAGGGGGTGGGCGACTGGCCTTGCAGAAAAACTCACGGTGGTGGGTTTATTCTATTTCTGCTGTTCTTTTCCTCCTATATAAGAGGTGGAGGTGAGAGGGTTCGAGTCTGTGTTTGCTAAAGGCCACTCAGAGTGAGCCGCATCAGTCTGAGCCTGCCTCCCTCTTCTCCTCCACACTGCTGAAGTGAGTGCTGAGCTCCTGGAGGACAGCTTTCCTCCCCAGGTGGTCGTTCCTCCTCCTCTCCGTGATCATGTCCTCCAAACTCTGAAACTCCAACACGTGGGACTGTTTGTCCGACACCATTATTTTCAGTCTGTACGGCTGCTTGCCTATCCGTATCTCCCCACCCATTTTGAACTCCCTCTTCCCAAACCTGCACCAGGCGGCGAAGCTCTCCGAGTTCCTCCAGCTCAGCTCCCGGTCCTTCAAGCCCACCTGCTCCATGGCGTTCTGCACCACCATGTCCGGACCCAAAGGCTTGAATTTGTACAAGTCGTTGACAATCCTGCACCTCCGTCCTCGACCTGCGTCGGTCAGGAAGCTGTTCTTGACCTCGGCTCTGTGCAGGTGCACCACCTGGAAGTCGCCCACGTACACAGCCCAGTGTGGGAACTGTCCCGTCGCCACGAACTCCACCAGGTCTCCTGCTCTGCATTTGTTGAGCAGGTTCTCCGGGGAGTAAACCTCCAGGCTGGTTTGTAAGTTTAAAGTATAAATACAAATTAAATCAACCTACGACTGAGAACCTACACAAATTAAATCTTTTTTTTTTTTCGTATTCCCCTCCCTTTGT